TGATGATTTTATTATGTAAATTGGTCAGCTTGAGCTCAGCTTTCCAACGCGTGTCTAAGCGATTTGATCGGATCAATAGTTTTTGAAATATTGATTTAAATGTATGCCAAATATGGATTTTTGCGGGGATACCTACTCGCAAAAAGTCGGAGGCTCGATTTTCACGGTAGAGCTATAGTTCTTTGGGCAAAGTTTCTTAAAACGACCCGTAGAACACCGCTAGGATAGGTAAAACATCGAAAAAAAATTTGACCCGCCCTAATGTCTACTAACAAAGCAACATCTCAACAGTCCAGGAGAGATTGGGAGTGTCAGAGACCAGATCTCAAATGCATGCTGCAATTGTTGATTTGTTATTTGTAAATTATACTCATTACTCGATAATGTTAAGACAAAGCCAAAACATAATAATTAACCCGGTGCAACGTATAAACCATCTTATTTTTTTCAAACAAATTTCAAAACTTTTAGCTTCAGCATTACTTGACGTATGTATGACGAAGTTTTTCACTAAAAAAACAAAGTAAAAATTCTACCACTTGTCCCCCTATTGAGTTACATGTATAAGCAGATCAAATGACTCTTCTCCTAACTGTTAACAAAGCAACATTTTATCAGAATGCGAGCATTATTTCTTGAATACATATTTTCCATATTATTCGTTGTAGTAAATCTCATATGAGGGAATTCGATTGACTTGAAAAATGATAAGAAATTCTTGTGCCCGTTATCATTCAAAATGTTTTTTCATTTCTAAAAATGAAAGGACAAAAATAATTAATTTCATTCAAAAGAATAGAAATCATACTCATCAAGAATGAAGTCGGATACTTCATCCGTCACATTAGTGCATATTGAAATGTAGACATCAGCATCTTTTAGCGATGTTTTTTCATATAGACAGAAAAATAATGCCTGTCTCCAACAAAGTTCATGTAAAAACAGCAGCAGCTCATTTCTCTGAATTAGAAAACTTTTGCTAGTCATAATAAGGCATAATACGCTGTCGTTTATTGCTCGAAACAATTCAAAACTATTATAAAATATCTGATTCCTTCATGTCTGTTTATTCTTGACTGTTAATGATAAATAAAAACGAATACAAAACAACAACAAAAAATACTACAACAACTTGACATTTATTGTCACTCTAGAACTTAATACAGGTGGTTATGTAGCAAAATAAACTAAAACATTTCCAATTTCAATTTCACTATTTTGTTGTTTTAATATGATTGTTTGTTTAACTAAATCGATATTGAACAAATCGTCATGTTTTAATTCAATTAATCCGTCTGTCGGTTTTGATAAATTTGGAATCGTTTGTGGACCTAAAAATGAGTTAATTACATCTTTATAGACAAGTGTGTTTAGATGTTATCCTAGTATAAGACACAAATCAAAGCACGACAAAGAAATATTATCCTAAGACACAAATTTTTAATAATAAAAGAAAAATTACCAGTAAGAGGATCTTGAAAACGGTAAAACTGAATGGTTTTCATTGATTTTAAACGTCTTTCCATCCGTTTTAATCTTAATTCTAGTTTCTCAAGTGTATCACCGTTCAACATTGGTAAAGGCTCTTCTAATAACGGCGTGTTGGGTTCTCCATTAATAATGCGTACCATTAATGGTTGTTCATATCGAAATTGAATCAATGGTTTACCCGGTAATATATCATCAATATTAATATTTTCATTCTCTTCAACAGTATCCGTTAAACGAATGGAAATACTTTCTATATCTAATGAACGTCGAATATATTCAATATTAGTTTTCAATAAATCATACTCATCAAAACTTAAATGATGATCTAATGTATTTATATCACCGCCACTTTTTTCGTACAAGTCTTTATTATGAATAATAAATGGCATCAACTCCTTCTGATGTTTTTTTTCAATTTCTTTTCGATTCTTAAAATGTGTTGACAATTGTTTGTTATCCGGCATCTGATTATTGTTTTTCATACATAATTCTTTCATTTCATTGAGAACAAACAATTGCCATTTTGGATAAGTTTTTGCTACGAATACTGTTGCATGCATTAGTGGCGGACGTCCTGCAGATGTAGTGATGGTTGTTGGCGATGGTGTTACTGTTGTTTTGGATATTTGAGTTTGGCTATAATTTTTGAGACGTTTACGAAAATCATGGCATGTATCCAATAAGTGATGACAAGAATCAACTGCTGACTGATCAATATTGCCTACAAAATAAAAGAACGTTATTGATTATTTTGTCTATTCTTTCAGGTTTAAAGCACAGCATTCTTCTGTGATATTTATCTGAAGGATGACTAATGCAGGAACTCTCCTAAGTATCCAATCGCTTTCCTCTCAAAATATACTTAGTTAATTGTAACTTTTCATGTTGGTCACGAATCTAATATCCAGTTTTGTTCTTTAGACTTTTCGCTGTGGATCTTCACAAATGCGCTTTCTAGAAACCCATCATCAACTTCCATTTGATGTACGAAGTGATGTATTTTATGGAGATATGAGACTTCTACTATTTACTTTGTTGAAAATACTGAACCTCTGTTTTAATGTTAGTAAAAGTCTCATATCTCCATAAAACTACATTTGTTAGTCATGTAAATATTTGACTCTCAGTCAAGTATTTACATGAGCAACTCAACATGCTGTATCAGAATTTCTTCAAATGAAAGTTGATAATGTGTTTCTAGAAACCACATTTGTAGAGATCTACAGAGGAAAGTCTAAAGGACAAAATCGGATATTAAATTCGTGACCAGCATGAAAAGTTACAATTAATTAAGTATATTTTGAGAGGAAAGCGACTCGATATTGAGGATAGTTGAAAAGAATTCAGTAAGGTTTTCGTTGTCGTGCAAGCTTTCCTGATTTAACCCGTTGAACGGTCTGCAATAGGTTGCTTTTTACTTAACTGCCACTGGCCATTTTGCATTCATAATTGTCGCTTCGTTAGGATGTAATAATTGCCAAACGTACTCGCATATATGCGGGCAAATGGGTGCCAACAGAAGTGCTTGTATTTCAATAAAATGACGTATCAAATTAATATTCATTAATTCATTTTCTGAACATAAATCCCGATAATTATCACGTGCTGTTTGTAACTCAAAAAAGCCATGTTTTAAAACATCTTTATAGATCATTTTTTCATAATTTTCTTCGGCCAGTTTTATTGAACGATTTATTTCACTTATAAATACATTGTCGTAATAATTATATTTTGTATCTGTACGATATATCGGTTGTTGTTGATCAGAAATGGACAATGTATCTTTGACCCAATTGATAACTGTTGATAAAATACCGCTATCAGGCGATGATGGAACCGGTTTTGATGATTCATTTATATTCAATACTTCTTTGACCCAATCGACAAATGTATATAAACGAAGTAATTGGGCTAAACAGAAATTATGTGATTAGTACTAGTTATGATAGATTAAAACGTGCACCTTCAGCCATTTTTTCATCAAAATTTGCATCCTCGACTGTATCACCAGCGTCAGCCAATGTCAAACGCATTCCTATAGCAATAACAATCAAAGTATGAAGTATATCTCTTGCACAGAATAGCCAGTATTTACCGTCAGCAGAAAACTTTTCGACTGCTTGAACCAAAGTTAAAAAATTGCCTGTTGATTTTGACATCTAAAAACAAAAATGCTTTAAGTATATTAACGATAGTAAAAAAACGTTTTACTTTTCTTACCTTTTCAGCATTCAACAATAAATGTCCATTCGATCGAAATGCTTTTGGCCATTTGTTATCATTTTCATTTGGCCACATCGCACAATGATTATACAATGCATAAGTTAAATGATTTGGTATTAAATCTTTCCCGGATGTTCTCAAATCCACTGGATACCAATATTGAAATTCATTTCGTAGAATGTCTAATGTTGTTTTTGGTATTTCTGTTTTTGGATAAGGTGCATCTTTGAAGAAAATATAATCCCATACATCAATTGTCATTTGATGCGGTAGTATCTTAGCGGGACCGGGTATTGAACCATTAAACGAATCTTTTGCTTGTAATAAATGTGCAACAGTATAATAAGACATATAAACAGTTGAATCGGATAATGATTCAATTAAATATTTATCATCCCAAGGTAATTTTGTTCCAAGACCATAGGATCTTGAACATGCGTGTTCATGTAACCAATCAATTGTCATTTCAAAATTTTTACGTGTATCATCACCATATGTATTTAATTGTTCTAAAACATGTCTTGTCTTCGATTTCCACTCTTCATTGCCATAATCTAAATACCACTGATCACACAGTGCCACTACACATTCATCACTTGACCGTGATATTATTTTAGATTCTGGTTCATAATAGGCACACGCTTGTTGATTTTTAATTAGAAAATCACGAATCAATTTTTTTGCATCACACACTTTTTTATCCTTATGTTCACCGACTAGCAAAACACCATCATAAAATGATTTTAAATAGATTTTTTCTTTAGCTTCTAATAATTTATCACGATCGTTTTGTGAATGAATTTTTAATTGCTCACATATTGTCACAGCTGATAGACGGCCATACGGTTGCAATTCAATAATGGGTACCGGATTATAATCCGTGACCATTTCATCTTTGATTTTGTATTTTTCTCGTAAATTTGGTTTGTTTTTTAGATCGGATAATGCTGCATAATCATCAGGACTATCCGATGGTACCGATGTTACGACCCCAGTACCTTTATCACCTTTAATTGTCATCATCGGTAACGTGTAAACAGTTTCGTATGATGATAATGGTGCATGTAACGGCAGACCCAATAATTCAGAGCCAACATATTCTTGTAGAACAGTATAACGACCATATTCATCGGTGTACTCTTGATACGATAAATTTTTCGCTGCACGATGAGTACAAATGAAAATTTCTTTTGTTTTTGTTAAAAATGCAACATATTCCAGATCGGGGTGAAGCCAACAGTTTGTCTGACCATACATTGTTTCTGGACGTAAGGTAGCCGCTACCAAATAGACTCCTTGTTGTGATATACCTCTAAATATAAATAACAGAAATATATAGGACATTGTCACTACAACTTCCAGTAGATAGAAACCTTTCACACAGAAGAGCATACTTCAATTTTTCTGGTACATGATCATCATGTATTTTTAATTTGATCAATGTATATTCTTGCGGTGCTACACCTTCTCCGGTGCTTCGATCATGATCCATACATGGTTGATCATCTTTTGGTGAAAAAATAGTATATCTGTTTCAAAAGAAAAATAAAATACATAGTGGTGATCATACGTTTCTTGTGTATACGAATCATACCGTTTTCCAAATTGTATTTTACCGCCAGTTTTCAAATGATAAAATTGCCAATTGATAAAAGAATCCTTTCAAAAAGAAATGTAATGAACCGTTTGAATGAAACGATGAAAGAAGGTTCTTACATAGTAAGGATTTGCGTCTGTTGTTATGAACGATCGTCGCCAATCAACCTGAAAAATTTGTACACAATACGGTAATCATCGATTCATATTTATGAGCGCATCGTCTATTAACACTTACTTTTAAACCCATCATGTCTAAATCTTCTTTGACATGTGGTGGAAAGTACGCCAACCAATACAACGGATCGGAAAATTTTTTTATTTCATTATCGTCATCTATTCCAAGACTATGCATTATTTGCCATTGATATTTTTCACCCGTAGATTTCGCAGCAGCTTTACTCTACAAAAAAGGAACATCAGCTACTATTGGTACTTGCTTCTTAAAATCGATTGTTAACCTTTTTTCCTTTCGCTTTATTTTCAATTTTTATATCGTTATGATCTTGTTGTTGTTTTGCATCTTCTGTTTCATTAACGTTATTGTCCTCATCACTTGGAAATGTAGGAGGAAAACCAAATTCTTGAAGTTCTCGTTGTAGTTTGTCAGCACAAGCCTAAAATGATATACGACTTTCGTTTTATCACATTTTGGTTCAAGATTCAAATAACTTACCCGAATAGGCATACCAGTACAATGAAAACCAAACGGAAATAAACAATGTTTGCCTTTAAGACGCTGATAGCCAACAGCAAACTCACATTTTGATAATGAAAACGTATGACCAAGATGAAGACGGCCATTCATATACGGATACGGAAATGTTACAAAATATTTGTTGGAACTAAAACACTCAACAAACAATACTACATCAACAAAAAGATGTATTTCATTTGCAATTTACTTGTTGGTTGAATTTGCTGGTGCATCTACTTCAAATATTTTCATTCCTTGCCATTTCTTTTGAATTTGCTTTTCAATATCTCGTATAGCATCCAGCTTAACAGTGCTGCGTTTTTCAGTAGCCATTTTTCTTTCTTGTTACTAATAGTGAAAGAAAAGGTACGGGCGCTCAATCTAAAATAGAGAATCATACAATAGAGCAATGCATAATCATTGCATCATAACAAAACTTTATTTCAGCATGGTGTGAAACATACAGCGTAGAAAAAACTTATGCCAAATTCTTTCCAATAGTAATTCTTCGCATTTTACTGATGTCATTTAGAAAGTACTTATCAAATTCCGGACAGACCCCAAATCCTCATCCACCTTTTGCTGCTAAGTTGCATTCTTGTTTCTTTGTCAGGTATGGTATTGTCACGTTCACAGTAGAAAAATTAACTGATTGTTAAGAAAGATGATTGGTCGAAAAGTTTACTCGGAGTTAACTCATGTTTTCGGCATCATTTAACTTTAACTCTCCAGACATAAGCTCAGTAACCAACAATATAGTTCCATTAGAGAATTGAGATAGCACCAACTCTGTGGGAAACAAACATCTGACTCTCTACTCAATTTTTGTTTGAGCTTAGAAAGGCAACTGCAGAACATAAATTCAAACCGACAGGCTGTTGGCAAGCCGCAACTTTTCAGAATACCGAAGCGAGCAACGAGCACAATTTTAAAGGAAATGTCAAAATCTTAGTGGTGTATTAAAGATTTAGATGTGAACGCTCTCGAAGTTACCTCAGAGTTAACTCCGAAAAATTTGTAGTATGAAAAAGAAAGTAATCCTGATTCTAGTTTGTATTATAGCTGATGTCAAGAGCTTTCGAAATATATATTCTGAGTTCTCTGGCCAGAAGCCGTTACTAGAACATCGTCGTAAGACTATCTACCAAAACTTAACCGTAAAATCGGCAAAGGGTTCAATAAACTACGAATACATATATTTATCAGTAGTTTTATTCTATTCGACTAAATCTGGCTTACGAAACAATAGATCACTCACGGATCATACAGTTATATTAGTCCTTCGTCCTGTAAACTTAATTATATTACCAATCGAGTATTATTCTACTTTTTCAATACAGTAACGACATCTAGCAGATAATGATTTACTAAAGAACTTCAACAGTTAGTCACTCTCAAATGGGTTTGTAGAAGCTAGTTCCATTCGGCTTCATTAAGGATGTAGAGAACTAACTTCAAGAACGCCTTTAAACCTTGCATACGGTTCAGCAGCACATAATGGTTTTCCATCTGTCAAGTATACATAGCTGTTTTTCACGTATAAGGAGCCAAAGAGGTGCACTTCTTATTTTGTTGATCACATTGGCCAACCATAGAGGCACAAGCTTGTAATGGACGACAGGAATTCGTCGTCATGACAACCAATTCTTGTCGTTAAATTACAGTAGTTGCAACTTATGTAATTTAATCTGAACGTATTTTAGTAGTCGATGGCTTTTTATTGATTTATCATCTAAGGCTTAGTGGATACTAAATATCCTAAATAAAGAATTGTTCTTGCATAAAATTTAAACAATTGTTAAAGGTCAGCGTTGTTTATGTTTGAAAACTCACAATGTTGACTCGATCTTTAGTAGGGGGTGGCATTTTACTAGTTACTGGGCGTTACTTTACACGAAGTTACTAGTAACGAGTAATTAATTTCGTTACTTCGTTACTAGTAAAGTTTCTGGAGTAACGAAAGTGACGAAGTAATGAAACTCGTTATTAGTTACAAGTAAAGTAAAGGTAAATTGCCACTCCTAATTGTTAAAAATACAAATATAAGCACAGCTAACATCGCTATTGTGATGGTTCCTCTTCGAGTATGTACCCAATGTCGATGTACCAATAAAAGGAAGAGCAGTAACATGGAATGCCGAGAAATTACAAAAGAAAAGCAATTGTGCTCTACTAAACCATTTACGCTTCGTCACAATGTCATGGAGAAGACATTGATGCTATAATACCTGCTCATGTATTCACAATTTTTACGTATCAGTTGTACAACAACAAAATTTGGTGATTTTTATGGGGCGGAGAATCTCTACAAAAATTGTACAGGCGAAATGGTCATATATTCCGAATCTGTAAACACGGTGCACGAGGAGACGAAGCCACCTTTTTTACTTTATTAGAGCCGCCATTAAACGAGTTTTAACAGTATAATTTGCTTTCATTTTAATTTTTTTCTGTTGCCAAGAAAATCGTTTTTTCTAAATCAATGACGAAAAATACAGAAATATACTCGTGTTTTGAGATTTTCACCATCAAATTTCATATTTTGTGCAAAACTAATGTGACATTCGAAATCACCATCAAAAACTGAGTAGAATGAGTGGTGAATTGGCAAGACGGATACTGGAAAAACGGATTCCATTACTACAGAGGAATAAAAGTCTTCTCCTATCCTAGGCAAAAGAGCAAGGCAGGACAACCTGTTCTTAACAAAGCATCGTGTACTAGTGGTTTCTTTGCATGTTTACGTAGTGTAGAATTTAGAAAAAAAGAATTTCTGACTGAATATATCACAGTGATCAGAGATACTATCTTCTGATGCTCTCATATGGTATAAAAATTTTTCCAAAGAAGTTTTAAAATTAGTTTTATTTCATTTCTTATGTTCGAAAACACTCTAAATTGTTCATTTCAAAAAAAGGAAAAACTACAAGAAAATAATAAAAAAAAATAAAAAACAAGATGCGCATAATAATCTAACGAAGGTTATTGATGGAATATTAGTTTTATCATTTATTTTTTTTCATCAAATGTAAATTATTCAATCAGAGGTATCATAAACTTAAGGAATTAACACATTTTTGGAAAGTTGTTCCACGGAGTACAGACACCAACAGGAAACAGATCATTAGGAAGACAGTTGGTAGTCTCCTCTGACTAAAATTTCACACAGTAACATTACTTATGTATCATTCTTTTGTCAAACTTCCAATTGCATTAATACATTTAATTCCAAATATCCTTAGTAGAAATGGGCATAAAAACGTAAAAAAAGAATGAAGACGCGTATTTTATGAAAAAATACATCATCAAAAAAGAATACGAATGATTTGAATAGTAAAAATTCTGCGGTTGTTGTTACATCAGGCAGAAAATTCTCATTATGTGGAATTTTTTAACCTTGAACTATTAACTATTATTACGTTAATATGGTTGTGCATTTTTATTAATTATCCAATTTAGCATGACAACTATAAAATGTCTGCATAATAGAAGCGATGCCAAATTCTTGAGGCATATAGGAATATACAGTTCATTTTTTATCAAACAACCTATCAATCCAAAAAGTTGTCGCAAACGAGACAAAGCCAGTGCCCTCTTTTTGTCTTCGTTTCTCGAGTTTTTCCCTCTCCAAACAAGAAATAGAACACAACTATTTTACTTGAAGTATTATTGAGACCTTTTTTATCAACAAAAATCGGCACTGGAATGCGTTGACGAACGAGACATATTGATATACTGAGATCATCTATAACCGCTATAATCAAGAAAACTGAAATTGATTCAATATAATAGATACAACACAAATACACAAATACAACGCAAGGATTCAAAATTGCACAAGCCAAAAAATCGTCAAGAAATTCAAAATAAAAACATAAAAAGAAGGGAAATCATTTTTGTATACATTAACTACGAAATCACACACAGACAACAAAAGAAATCACATGACACGATCATATGAAAGACAAAGTACTCATTACAAAACAGTAGTGTGAAATTTCTGAATTGTAGAGAATCTCGCAGAAAATTCCTAGAACTTAAAAATTTCACACACATCACTTACAAAACAGAAGAGAAAAAAATGAGAATCAACCGTCAACTGTAATCGTTGGCTGTGTAACATCCGTTTGAGCTGCTTGTGCCGCAGTTGATGTGTTAGATACAACCTCTTGACTAGACAGAGACATTTCATTTCCACTAACAGGTGTCTGCGTTTGAGAAGTTGAGACTGGCGGTGGCGTCGTATCGTTAATTACGTTGTGATCGACGTGAAATATATGTACAAGTTGTGCTTCGATAACGGGTAATTCATAATGATGAAAAAAATATAGCATTGAGTGAACGACAAAAAGACACGAAGCTGTTAATGCAAGTCCACTGTATTGACCGTTGAATCGATAGTGGTATGCATAAAATGCAAAATGATACAAGTAAAAGAACCTTTGAAACAGTAAGAGAGTTAAAAAACGATCAAAGATTGATTAAATTTCATTTCTACTCACCTGACCCAATGGCGTTTACTAACTGCTGTATGACAACATATTGTATCATATTGATCGGCAATCCATACAACAAGTATTATATAAAATGCTGTTGAAGCATCGTTAAAAAACTCTGACATTATCGCCTCCATACCTAAAATAAAAAAATAACAGAATATTTGAAATGAACGGTTTTTTTCAACGTCTCACCAACAAAAAAGAATATCTCACTTCTGAAAAGAAATGCCTTTAATAATTTGTCTTAAATGGTCGTTTGGATGCGACAAATGGTGAAAGACTTTTCTCTTCGCTAATTTTGTCAGATTTTAAATGAGAAATTGATGAATGTCTCTCTTCATTGGACAAAAAGATCCATTATTTTCCTTTTTCAGGAAATACATGGAGAAGGAGAAAGAACAAGCTTTGGTTTCATCCGCTTTGGTACAAGTAAAAAAAAGTCCTTGTTTTTTCTCATTTAGTATTACCGCTACCTTACAACTGCCATACACTTACCAATCAACGCTAGAATAACAGTTAATAAAGGTGCAGCTGGAAAAACAATTGTTGTATTGTGTTCAATCATACGTAATAAATCGACTAAAAAAACGTAAATCAAAACTGAAATGGCATTATCGGCTTTATTTGTTTTATACTATACGCACCAATAAAAAGAAATATTTGAAAATGAGAATAGCGTAATAACATCGAAATTGAAATTGTCTAAAAGAATGACAAAAGTACATACATACGGTGATAAAGGCTACATTGAAATAATTACTCACAAATACAACCATTATACACAAGGCTATGATGTATGTAAACCATTTACGACTTTGCCAAGCAGAAACAAAACGAAAATGTTCACCTAGTCAAGAATGAGATATATTTAGTATAAAATTTGATTTAATATTTATAAACTGTGCATACCTGTGATTACGTTGCGAACGTAGCCTAAAATTAAATAGTAGAAAGAGTTTTGCCAATTCGTTTTGAATTATTATTCTACCTTTATGTGGTTCTTTTTCTGCCAGTTGTTTTATACTTGACATAAGAATCTCATTGTAACCAAGAAATTGATCAAGCATAAATTTGCTAATACCGTCTCCGAAACAAGAATTATTCATTGTATCTAAAAAGTTGACAACAATTATTACACTTATCTGTGAAATATTTATCAATCTTTATACCTAGTGTAACAAGCATAACACTAATATTCAATCTTTCTCGTGCTTCCGGACTTAAACGAAGTAAACCATATTCCAATGAGTACTCTAATATATGTTGTTCTTCCACTAAACAGTAAAATACAACCGTTATAATTCAAATAGAGACAAATAAAACATTACTTACACAACATATGTTTGAGTTTATCAATATCAAAAAAATAGCATAAAAAGGATTCGAAAAATGTTGGCGTTTCAACATCTGGCAAATCGACCAAATTTGCCTCTGATGTTAACGGACTTGTTGTTGTCATTGTAATAGTTGTATCAGATAAATTATTCTCATTTGTATAATATTTATTTTCATTAAATGTTAAATTAAGTGATGATTGATTAACCTCAACTATTTGTTGTTCAGAGTTAATTTGTTCATGATAAGATAAAATATCTTCATAACTGTCATTTAATGAGATATTAGATGAATTTGCATAAAGTTGCTCTTCTATTCCGTCTATTGCGATCTCCTCATCCTCCAATGGTGTTATAGTTGTTGTCGCTATAGACTAGAAAATAAATTAATAATATTAATAAGAATTGAAATTAAATAAACTACTATAGATTTATGATCGATTAGAGTGAAAGAGTACATCGTTTCACTAGTGAAGACATACTTGATACAAGTTCAGCTTGCAAAGCGTCCGTTTTGAAAAAATGACAAATCAAACCATATTTCTTTACCTCATCTGATCCTGTCTGATAATAATTATCGTTATCCAATGATGTTTTCTGAAATTCTTTATCATAAGATTTTTGTAAATTATAATTTAATGGAACATTTTCTAATAATTCCACGCGTAAAACACCGAATCTTGGCCACGTATTTTGAATATGCTGCAAACAAGTCACTGGTTTATTATTGAAAACAGCATGTAAATAAATTAATAACGCTAACGACACAACAGCCTAAAGAGTAGAAAAAAACATCGAGAATGAATACAATGTGATTGATAAATAGTCATTTTACCATAAGAATAAAGACAAATTCAATTAATCTTCGAATATATTTTGATATGGCACGTGCATAAAGTACAGCTATTCTGTAAAATAAGGCTTGAAATAAACGTTCCATCGTATCGCCATCTTGATTTCCTGGTCGTGGTCTTAGACGTGCCGCTTGTTGTTGCACATTTTGATTTGTTGCACCCGTTTGCTGCTGCTGCTCGGCTTGCGTAGTGGTGTCTGTAGAAGGATCCGCTGGTGGTCTTTGGGAAGATGACGTCGCATTACTATCTAATTCATCGTTCGTCGGTGGGATCACATCCGACATCAATTTTTTTACATCAACAATGTAAAAATGAAATGAATTTCTGAAACAAAGATGAAGTATCTGAAACAAATAAACTAACAGTTGAAAATTAAAAAAATAAAGATTACAGGATTATTCTGTTCTTTTCAAACAGAATTTTCAATAGATAGAAGTTTAAAGCATTCTTAAGTCGTCAGCATTGTTGTGGGTTTCTCTCTCATACAGTTACTGTTTTTAACAGAGATAAATATTAGCATATAAAATATGCAAACTGGAATCGATCTATTGTGATTAGCGCATAAAATTTCATACCAACTCGTTCTATTTGAAACATAGCGACAGGAAATGACTCAAGCGATTGTTTTTCAAAAGAAAATATCTAGAATTTCTGGCATACTACGTGACAAATAGTATCTTATTTCAAAGTAGAAAACGAGGAGCGTACTATCAAATATGGGTGGCACTTTACCTTTACTTTGCTTGTAACTAAGCAACGAAATTAGTTACTCGTTATACCTGGTAAAGTAACGCCGAGTAACTAGTAAAGTGCCATCCCTACTATCAAATCAATATAAAAAATCTTCAGAAAACGTTTAGTTAAATAAGGGAACTATTTTGTTTTGTGAAGATGTATCTTAAAGCGCTTTTTTACCACGGTAGACTCTCTACATTCTATAGTCTTATAAAATAGACTACAGAAGTGACTAAAAGAAAAAAGTTAACTAGACACGATCAACGCTCTTTTTTCTTCATGAAATCAATTGGATTATATTTAAGTCATGTTTAATGTTTTAAAAAAATAATAAATGAACAATAAGTAACTTATCTGACTTCTTTTAAACACAATAATTAACAAAAAAATTAACATTTAAAAGTTAAATATTTCGATTCAAAATAAGTATAAGATAAAAAGAAACAGTCGACGAAAAAGCATTAAAATATTTCTAAGATCTTGATTAGCATCTGAAAAAAATTCTTTTTTGCTTATGCCAAGTTGAAGCTGATAATAATAGCTACAATAAAAAATTGTGTCAAAAAGCAACATGTACTGTTGTCGAAAAACTGATTTTATTCTTTTTGTTCAACAATGCCAATATTTCTATCTTGTTTTGTGATAATTTGAATAATTGTGTCTATTAGTTGATGTTCATAGTCTAACTGAATACTTTTCTTACTCGCCTTCTGTTCTAATAAATAGTCAAATTTTATTTTTAATTCATCGACAATTTTAAATGATTTATGATTAATATTTATATTAATCCAATCATCAATAAGTACTCCATCTTTCGTTTGAATTGATTTTCCAAAGAATAATAGGGCATACGGTGAGATAAGAGATGCGTCATGAATATATGTAGCATTTGTTCGAACTTTTTCATGATAAATGACATAAATTGAGGGTGTTTTAGATGTTCGTATATCATTGTCACGCAATTTTGAATTGACTGAACGTGGATGTAATAATACTCTATGATCAAATTTTGTTTCAAGAATTATTGGTCGTTTAGATGAATTTTTATATGATAAATGTATACGTGCTATATTTGGATAGAGTCCAGCACATAATATCGAACGAATTAAATCATAATTTTCACTATTTTTATTTGTTGTATGTGTTGTAGTAAAAAATATACTAATCAAATATTTTAATTGTTTACGCATCTTATCAATCATATACATATGATTTAAATTTAAAAAATTTCTTGAACAAAATTCTACTTTATCCCGATGACTTATCTGATCTTTCCATTCATCATAAACTCTTATTAACATTAAATGATCCGATTGATTATGTGATGAAAATCGTTCACGTATAACATTCAATTCTTGAATTCGTTCCATTGGACAGGTGAATGGATCACGATAAGATAATACGGATGCGATAGTTAATATAGGTTCAAAACAAGAGAAAATATGGCCCAATACTAATAGTTTTCCAATTTGTGGATCAAGTGGCAAATGTGAAAGTAAACGTCCAATTGGTGTTAATTCATTTGTTGTTTGTGTTAATGCATCGATTGAACGAAGAAATGATTCAGAGTGATTGATGGCTTCAATAGTTGGAGGATCGAGAGCTTCATTTAGAAATTCTTGTACACTATTTATTTTTAATAATTTTGCCTGTAAATAAACACTATGTAAACTGGTGGTGGTCACTAAAAGTAAAAAGTTGATCATTGAACGAACATAGGTTAGAACAAATAATTAAATCTCTTATTACTTTCAGGTTGTGGAAAATCTAAAAATAATGTCTTCTCAAGTAAGCGTGTAAATAAACGAAAACAAATGCCAGGTTGAGTCCGACCGGCACGTCCTAGAAAAGAAACAGTGATAGTGATAATTATACTTCCTGGAAAAAAGGCATAATGTCTAAACCTTTTCGTTGTAATAAATTAGCTCTTGATATCCACGTAGGCAAGAGAGATTTTCCACCTGTGCCGATATCATAGCCGCCTTGTTTTGTTCGACCCGTATCAACGACATAGACAACATCATCAATTGTAATCGATGTTTCAGCGATAGATGTTGCTAATATAACTTTTCGTTTACCATACTCAGCCGGAGAAAATATTTCATGCTGTTGAGCAAGCGGTATCATCGAATGTAATGGTAGTACTTTGATCTGATTGACTAGAAATTTTGTCTGACGTAATAACTGACTTGTTTTAACAATATCTTGCCAACCAGGCAAAAACACCAATATAGTACCTAATACAGAAAGAACAATATGTGTGTAAGGAGATAGAATCATTAGTTTGTTTCAAACTTGCTACTGGAAAAAAAATTTCCTCAAAAACAGTTCCTCATTCGTCGATGCATTTTTTTTTGTGATCGAACGAAGCAAATATTATATTCCTTTTCGTACATTGCATTGCTGTGGATGCAGGAGTTATAAAAAGGTGTGCAATAACTCTTCATCAGTGAACGCTCTAACAGCATCATTTTAGATTAAATTAACAAAAAAGTTACCATCTCGTGATTTTTCACATATATGCAAGATAACAGCCACAACAAGTTCATGATTAATGTTTTCGCTCATATCACCACCCATATTTTGTATAGCACGAAAAACATGATTTGAATACTTCTTTTCGGATAAATCTGTAGCTAACTCTTGCATGTAATTATGAAATGTGATCTGTTGTTGATTTTGTCTTCGTCCAATACTATTAAATTTTAATTGATAATTTAAATCAAGAATATAATCTTCTAAGTAATATTCATCAATTGGATATAAAGCACCGGGAACCGTGATAATTGGACAATCATCGAAATATGAACTAAATTTTTCTGCTTGTATTGATGCACTCATCAACACAACTTTTAAATCTTGTCTAATTTTAACTAAACGTTTGATAAATATTAGTAAAAAATCCATTTGTATATCTCTTTCATGTATTTCATCCAAAATAATATGTGAAAAATGTTCAAATGCTGCATATTTTTCAATATATTTTAATAACATTCCTTAAATAAAAAGATGATGTGTCAAAAACCATTCGAATAGAGAAACTAAAAACATTTTTTTCTTACCAGTGGTGCAAAATAATATGGAACCATTTTCTCTTGGAAATTGTGCTGATAATCGAATATGATAACCAACACTATCTCCTATACGGTCATCACCGCGTTCATTGGCAACTCGTTCACAAACCGACGTAGCTAGAAAAAAATTATATATTTTCCTAAGTATTCGTATATTTTTATAAGTCATTCTAACCAGAGATACGCCGTGGTTGTGAACAAATAATACGACATTGACTTCCATTTTTATTCATTATCTCATTATCAAGTATATATTGAGCAATTTGTGTAGTCTTTCCAGATCCTGTCTCTCCCACAAGAACAAAAATTTGATTTTTCTTTAATGTATCAAGTATTTGTTGACGATATAAATATACAGGTAATTTGATTCGTTTTGCTAATAGATGTTTATACGTTCGAGATGTTACATGCTTTGAACTCAAATCATTTAACAGCTGATCATTGATCGATGGCTGTGATTGTAATTGTTTAAAATAATCAAATGATTGATGTAGCTCATCAAATTTAATCGCATGTTCTTTTAAGTCTTCATCTTCTTCAGCAACATCATTCTCATCAATGGCTACCTGTTCATGAGCAAATAATTTACTTGTCTGATTCATTCGCAAAAGTTCACTTTCATTCAGCTCAACAGCGGTTAATGGTTGATGACGTTCTTTTTTACGTGAAGTAGTGGCTTTCGATGTTAAATCAGTGGCATCTGCTGATTGCTGAGCTTGTGCTCTTCTCGCATACCACATACCAACTGCACGACCACGTAAATGAGGAGGATGACGTTCACGCTTCTCTTTGAAAGGTTTCTCTTCAACACTAAATAAAAAATAAAACATTTCAGAGATATATAAATAATATATTAAATTAGAGACTATTGCAATTTCTCATTTCTGGAAAACTTACTGATTCTTTACGTTGTTGCTACTGGTTGCCATTGATCTAAAACATGAGAAAACATAATAATGATACTTTTCATTTACCAAAATACTATAAACTATCAGACGAGCTTTATCAATTTATCATGCAGAAGCAAGAATTTTTTTTTTTTTTTAAAATAGACAAAAATACAAAGTACGATAAAATCTATTTTCCGTTTTGTGATCATTACAAAACAAAAGGGGCACATTGCACTAAAGACTAGAATAAAAAATCCTTTACATGTGATCTGAAACTTCTCTTTGAGCTTGGCTCTTCGCCGACATATAAAAATGTTTTCCTTTGTTTTCAATAACAGAGCAGTACTCGTCATTGACAGTCGTAGACACGAAATAGTCAAACAATGGAATAGTGGAATATCAATGATGCATTAAAACACACCGGCACTGTATAAATGGAAGAAAAGAATTTAGAATGCTGTAATTCATCAACAATTGTTGGTTCAATCCATTAAAAAACAGCTGGCGTAAAATTGTATTTTTAGCCATTTACAACATTAGTCTACAGGGATACAAAATTTGTTAAATAAATGGACATGGAAACATGAAACGGATCATATTGATGACGGTGAAGAAATGCTAGAAAAAAAAAAACTTTTTCACTACCAAACGTCGAACCACCATTAAGGTTAAGATAACCATGAACACGAAAATTTCTGTCAGTCACCTTTTCATTGTTCTCATTCGATGGGAAAGATCAAACAACGAGAACGAAATATGCTCACATCTAGTTTTTACGCTCAGGAGAACGAAATCTCAACTACCCGTCCAATAAAATCGCACTTTCTACATGGTCTAGAAACACTAAAGTAATAAATACGTTGCATAGCTAAACAAGCAATAATTTGCGCAACATCAACGTCTGTTGTTCCTTTTAAATCAGATAAAATGCAATAGTATCAAATTAAACGTCCACGCAATATCATGTATTGTTGTTGCAGTCATTCCATTGCGTGTTATTCGTTTCTAATAAGGCTTCTCTTCTTCTAAGGCTTACTCTGAGTTTCTAGTTAGGAATTTAATTTGCTTTGTGCTGAAGTATAGAGTTAGATAGAAGGAAAGTCAGTCTTGCTTTAGAAGGAAACTGCTTAGCATATTTATCTTTGTTTTTTTATTTTTACTTCAATTTTTAAAAGCATAGAAATTTACTCCAAAATTGACTTTGCCCCCCCTGTCTCCGAGGTATCGGGGTGCCCTTATTACATGACAATCTGCGAAAAAATTTACAGCGTAAAACTGATAGACCGTTATCCTCGCAGGTTAAAAAGCAGACCAATCAAAAGACGATTCTAGTATTTTGAAATAAAAACAGAATACGACGTATACGTGTAAATGATTATCGGCGAGATTTACTTCATTGTTCTTAAGAAACTCGTTTTCTTCAAGATTCAATATAACAAGCAACAAAAATATCTGAAGGCGTTCTCTAAAAGCATTTCTAATTGGTTGAAACTACTTCGAGTGACATTAGCGCCGAGGAGGATTCAAAATGGCTGTCGACTACTTTGCTTCTATTCAAAAAGCGTTGAAAATTGCTTTGATTTTTCTTTTTCCATACATAACAGTCATTCCCGAAACACTTCAAATTTTTAAAATCCCATACTCTATCTGAATCCGAGTTTTTTTAGTGATGAAAACTGAATATTTTTGAGATATTATCCTCATTTTGAATTTAACAGTCGAAAAATCTTAAACTTTGGATATTCACTTCAAGTGAATATTTTTCGTCAATGACGAAAACAGACTAAACTATAGTTTTGGTGTTTATCTTTCGAACATGAAAAATTGCATACTTGGCCCAATCTGCCGTTACTTTGAGTATTTTTCTCACCCGTTTCTCTTTATAAACCTGAAATTTCACGAAACTGTATTTTGAGACAGAATTTTTCATGCTCGAAGACTAAAATACACGTCATTTTGTTCAGATTTTATACGTCAGTTAGATAGTACGGAAAAAAACGCGCGTTTTACTCTCAGTAAGACGCCATCTATTGCTTTAGGCTAATACGCTATTTCTTTTAGTTAATGGAACTTCTAACAATGATATAACTCTTTAACCATAATCACAAATTTGATTAAGTCTTTTCTTAACAACCTTTTTCTTACAACCCTACAAAATATTAACCGACAAGTGATATATAGATTTGGCGTATTTTGCATTCTCTACAATAAAAATGCACGATTCGAGTTTTTAAATCATTGTGGTGATGAATATTTTGTAGGAGACGAGAGCACCGTAAAGAGCACTGATGATCAGATCAGAACAGGCATCCATAAATTCTACCCATAAATCTCCATTATCAACGTGAAATTTGGAAATTTTGCAGTGATAGTAGAGACTTATGGATAAAATTTATGGATGCCTAGTTCTGACCTGGTGATCACTCCTTTCGTCTAAATTTTCATTGTTTCAAACAAACTCGTCTCACCGTTATAGGTTGGGCATGTAATGCTGTAGACTAACGCGAGTAAAAACGCAGTATTTCTAAGGGGATTTTTAAGCAGAATGCAAAGTTTACCTGCGCGTTTCCTAAATAAAAATAGAGTGCTATTCGTTTGGAGACATGATACGTTGCAACTGCTAATGGAACATACCATTAGATACTATGAACGCGACTAAAACAAATCATGAGCTTGAGAAATGTGGTGTTTTTGTATAAGGAAACAAAATCTGAAATCATACCGCTTCAAAGAAGTACAAATATGCATTTATTGCACGTCGTTGATCTAAAAGAATACTTTGAATGATCTGTTAATAACCAGATTATCTTGACTACATAATGATTTGTCACGTATTAAACATTTCGAAGAAATAAACTTTTCTAGAAAAATTTCCAGCGTTTTTAAGCGACTGCAGAGATTTTATTGTCTTTTGCTAATCAGCGGACAGTTCTACTTGTGATATATACTCAATGAGAGATTTTTTTAAATTCACTTTTGTTGTCGATATGTAATTTTATATATTCTCAACATTAACAAAAATACATTGATGCACAAGCATCGAGTATACAAAAATAAGCTCCAGTTTGAGATTCAGACTGACAAGACAAAATTTTAAGCTTCTATGATATGTGTAAAAATAAATAAAAAACAGATCAATAAGCAGAAAATTAAAAAAATTTAGTAAGTTTATAAAAAAAGACAGAATCTTTTCTGCCTGTATCCAATTAATATGGCTTAACGGTCATACAAATTGATCTCCAGGCCCACCGAGAACTTTGTCCTAAATTATTTGTTTTCTTCCATATATCCAATTCGCACATCGGCTCATGTCTTTCTGTTCGTTTATAATAAACAGGACATGAATAAACATCTAATGTTGTATTTCTATTATTATTGTTATCAACGATTTGTTGTGCTTTATCAGCCGTTATACATGTTAAATGAATAACTGGTAGTGGGCTACAAGCATCTTTACTTTTTGTTGGCACATCTAGTATACCATGTTCAACGGCATTTTTATCACAATTACAACCCCATAAATATAGTCCAAAAATGAACAAACCATCTTTTGGTGGTTCTCGAATATGTTCTCGATCTCTGGGTGTAAACTCTGATTGAAAAATAAGAGAACCACTAACAGCATCATCCGATAAATTATGTTGATGAGCTACTTCTTGTTTATAAATACCAAATATGGCTGATGCAGAAAAAAATGCCGATAAATTATAGGCTGGATGTTTTTCACGACCTAGAATTAATTATAAGTAAATTAAGATTATATAGCTAAAAATTATCTTTATTTAAAGTTACCTTTATTAAGAACACGTTCAATATGTTCATTTCGTATAGCTAAATCGTTAAAAAAATTACTTAGACCCCATGTTGATGGTGGAGCTGATGGACCCATTTTTTCTAACCATGACAATGGAATAAGTTGAAAATATATTGAATGTGCAACACTATCTAATTCATTTGTCCATTGATAACCAAATTGATTTAATTCACAAATACTTTTTATTGTTTGTAGATGATTACGAATTAATGTGACTAATTCTAACATTGTTTGAGCTTCTTGTATGATCCACGTATTAAATGGACTATTTAATGCGCCACCATTACGCTTTGCACGATCAATAATTTGTTCCTAAATATAAAAAAAAGAAGAAGATATCAATTGTCTTTTTACGCATGTTATCCTATTACCTTTGAAAGTACTTTTGGTAGTTTTGTTGAAAGTGCATTTGAACAGTAGTCTTCTAACAAATTTATTTTTCGATTAGAGAATGAAAATAAGGCTGCTGCGCCAGCATTTAAGGATGATGATGGTGAAGACATGATGGACACATTCACATCTGAATAAAATTAAAACATAAAACATCAAGATAAAGTTGACTTAACTTTAGAATTTATCTCTATATAGAAAAAGAATATAAAATTTTAAACTTTATTGTATATTTTAATTTTACCTTCCATTGGTGTCATGGGTCGTTGATAAATTGCTGCACTAAGCGATACAGATGATGGAAGAGCGTCAAGTATGCGATTGAGACGATTGATTATAAATGTATCATCACCTAGAACATAAAAATTGAGATGATAAACATCTTCATTTCATCAACTGACAAGATAAAACATTATCGTATATATCAACATAACTTACCTAGATTTGTTTCAGCTGTCGAATGTAAATGACATGCTTCTGGTACATCAAATTGATGTGTCGATAATTGTTCTAATGCTTGTTGTAATTGAATAAGTTTTGGTTGATTATTAAAAAAAACATTTGGTATTTTATATTTTATTTTTGAAAATTCAAAATCTTTTTTTACACTAGCCGGTTGTATCCAAAAATCAATAATATTTGTTACAGCTCGTTGATCATATACAGATAAGACTTTTGAACCGTATATTAAATCTGATAGTGTATATTTAATTGCTGACCATGATGTTTGCCGTTGAAGTTCCATTGAAACATTTGTCTGTCCAGTTTGAGCTGATTCTAAACGTGATATTGTTGAATCATTAATTGCAAATTCTTTTGCTGCAGCTGTAAATGCCGCTGTTAATTCAACATTTGTAAATTGTGTTAAATGAGGAAAATCCCAACCGGCACGTCCAAATCGTGTACGAAGATTTAGTGCACAATGAACATAACAAATATTGTGTAATAAAGCTGGCCACTCTGGTTTTGATGATGCACGTAATAAATCTGAATCAATTGTAGCAAATGCTCTATATAATAAAATATTAAATATTTTTTTTCTAAAATTTATTATAAATACTATTTTTATTAACTATCTACCTTGCTAGTGCTTCCTTCATTGATAGTGGTGTTCGAATATAAGTTATCAGGCAAAGATTATACATTGAACTTGGAATTTGTGCTTGACGTTGAACACTTATCCAACATTTTGGTAAAGTATTATTTGTACTCGTACGTTTAATTCTCATATCCCATAAGGTATTTTCAATAAATTGTAAAAAGGGTGGATTTTTATGACAACAATGAATAAGTAACCAAGTATTCTACAATAAAATCAATTATTTTCAGATTATGTCTCATATATAGAGTAGAATTAAAAAACTTACGTTATTTATAGCTTTATTAAATGCTTTCTTCAATATACGTTCTTCCGTTGAACCGTTTCCATAAACATTTAATATTTGAAAATTTGATGATGATTCTTGATTAACATTTGTACAATATAGAAAAAAACTAATCACTTCATCTGGTTCATCATCATAAAATAATAAAACGGATCGTTGAAGACATTGTTTCAATAAAAGTTCAACATCTTGATTTAAACTTGGTAGTATACTGAAAATAGAAATAAATGGACTGAATAAATGAAATTAAATTAAGCAAAACAAAAAAAAAAAATCTTAAAAAATACAATTCATTGGTATTATAGCGTATATTTGAATGTTAATTGTTTTTTTTACTGGTAAAAGAATGTAGGCAATGGGAACTACAACATAACATGTTGAATTTTTTTGTTTTTGTTTGGGTTTGTCATAGGGATTCGCTTACCTTTTAAAAATGAGACGTTCACCTTTTTTTCTGAAAATAATGATGATGAATGATGATGAGAGTTTAAAATAGTTTTAAATAATTTTAGGACGAAAAATAGATTTTTATTGTAGATATTACTTACGGCATGGAACTGGCACGTGTCGTCGATGTTTGTGATGATTGTTGTTCTTGCAGCAAAGTTTTTGTTTTACTAGCACTAAATGAAATAAACTTAAACATAATATTGAATTCTTTTATTATGATTAAACCTACTCTTGATTAAATACATTCGTCACATAAACGGTAGATGCTTGAAGTATTCTATCACTTCTTAATGCTCTTACAATACAAAATTTTTGTATAGGTTCTAATTGTTCTAATGGTGCTGGTAATGGATAATTTTCTGTTTCACCTTCACATAATGGTCGCCATTTTGCTTCTTGTCCATCTTTTGTCATACGTTCAAAACCATCTGAAAACCAATCAAAATAAATTGCCAAATACTATAAAAATATCGAAAAATTAATCATATTATATTAATCAATAGATAATGAATAGATAGATATACTTGTAAATTTTGATATGATTCATCATTCATCCAATCAAATGGTTTTTTATAAGAATAAAATCGATGTTCTGTTGGCTGTTTTCCCGTTTTCTTTTGTAATAAAGCAATTGCCCATTGTGGTGAAACAATAAATTCTCTTTCACCAAGACTATCATAAAATTGATGCTGTTGTCGACGATTAAAACATTCAATTTCCATTGCAAAATAAATTGCAAATACACGTTTATCTCTATCATTTAATGTTCGACACATTGTAATAAAACTACTTTTTGTTAATTCAGTTGTTACTGTGCCCATTGAATGTCTAAAATATAAATAATAATTATTAAAAAAATATAACGTCTTTTATATTAAAATAATTGACAAACTTTTCCGATTGATAAATGGCTGCATCAAATAATTCAATAAATTGTTCAAGTGGTAATATATAATCACTATTTAAATATCGAAGATAATGCATAATATTATAACAAGTACTTGCACGTTGGGCTAATCGACGATAACTATTTCGAGTTTTAAATAGACTTTCTTCTTGTGTAGCAACACGATGAGATCTATTAAATAAAATAAAATAAATTAATATTAAAATAAATAAAATTAGAAAATGAAACTCTTTTTTTATACCCTTCAATCGCTTCATCATATGCTTTTTTTAAATCTGATAGTCGTTTCGTTGGTTCAACACTGTGTAATAAATTTAAACTATCAGATGCAAGAAAATTTGTTATATTTTGTCGCAATGGATCAATAATTTTTAATGTATCAACTTTTTCCTGTCAAACAATGAAAACAATTTAATTTAAAGATAAATTATTTAATTATTCTATTTGTAATACCTGAAGTAATGCATGTTGTTCAGCATCAATATGTGGTTTTTCTTTCAACATAAAACGGCTAAGAAATATTTCTTCAAGATCATTTAGTGTTACATGATAATATAATGCCAATGTATAGGCGGCTAATTCTCTTGGAATACGAACGGTTTCCGTTGTTGTATGAAGATATAAACTAAGAAGTATCAAAGACATATTACCATTAAGAGTTAATAGTCATGAATAGAGAATGAACAATTACAGTAAATTACCGATGGTAACGACAAACATGTTTTAAACGAAGTTTAATGTGATAAAATTTCGTAGTTTTTTACCACATTATTAAGTGCCGAACTTCTATTTGAATAATGCTCTATGCATTAGCAAACAATTGCAAATATACTATTAGCTATTTCTGAGTCTTTCATCCGAAAGTTGTTTTAGCATTTCTGGTAGACTATTACATAACCGTCAGAACATGAAACCAGCTGTAATAAAATATTCAATGTTTCTCAAAGACAAATTGTAAAGTGAAGTAAATAGATATTATTTTTTCATGTTTTTATTCGGATATCACGAATATAATATCTGGTTTTGTCCTTTAGACTTTCCTCTATGGATCTCCACAAATGTGGTTTCTAGAAATACATTATCAACTTCCATTTGAAGTATTTCTGATACAGCATGTTGAGATGTTCATGTAAACACTTTCTGACGACTAACCAATGTACTTTTACGGAGATATGAGACTTTTATTAGTATGAAAACTGACAGATTCAGTATTTTCAATAAAGTAAATAGTCAAAGTCTCATATCTCCATAAAGTACGTTACTTCGTATATCAAACGACAGTTAATGATGTGTTTCTAGTAAGCGCATTTGTGGAGATCCACAAAGGAAATCTAAAGGACAAAATCGGATATTGGATTCGTGACCAACGTGAAAAGTTACAATTAACTAAGTATATTTTGAGAGGAAAGTGACTCGATACGAAGGGTAGTTCCCTCGTGAGTCTCACTGAAGCATCGACAACAATAGCACGTTTATTATGCTGTCTCCCTTCTAGTCATAAGACAAAAACATCAATAATAATTATTTACCGAAATTTTGGACTACATTCAATTTCTAAATTTTGTCCAAGCTGTAATTTGAATGGTTTTTCACTATTGACAAACTAAAATCAAGACAATATTCACTTGTCTCTAATAATTTCGAATATATAATTTCACAGCACTTACTCTATTTTTATTTCTTATAATTGTCTCTAATTTTTCATTGGACATGATCGTTTTTGTATCACAATCGGTTAGCAAGATATGCAGTCCTTCTGACAGTGCTGTTTCTAATTGTGTACGTAATTCCTACAGTAAAAAAGAATTTATATATCTTTTTTTAAAAAGTTTTAGTAATATTGTCTTACATGATATCGAACAACGAGGAATTGTTTATTTTTTAAAAATAATGTTATCCATTCGATAGAATACCATGTTGGGTCACATATTAATGGCCATGCATTTAAACTTTTATCAGCCATCATAATACATCCATTTTCATTTAAAATATCTGTTGGTATTAAACGTAATAGTTGAAATTCTTTTAATTCAATTGGATTATATAGAAAATCGGCTAATGTTGAAATACGAGTATTAGTTGGTGTTGCGCTTGTTTGATAATCCCGACGTCCACTATCAACAATTGCCATGGATGATGTTAAGTCCACTGATTTATTTGTATCAATTGGTATAGGCTAAACAAAATAATTTAGAAAAATCGTATACACTTACATATTCATAACGGAGACTACCTGAAAAACGAGTTCAGCTTCTTTTGGTATTTCGTACTGTTCACAAAAACGTAAAAATTTTTGACATAGAATACGTCTTAAATCTGCATTAAATGGTGAACAATATGTCATATAAGCAGCAGCTAAAATGCAGTTTGTTAATGTTTGTTCGTGTGTAGAGTGTTCGGCAATCCATTTAGTCCATTGATCTTCAAGATCCGATAAACTATAAAATCACAGAAAACTAATCATCGAATTGTTATAAGAAAAGCCTTCATTGATATGTGAATATTAATTACACATCATTTTTAATCTCGGTAAGTAGATAAACAAATTTGATTTAGTGATAGTTTAACACATGCATTGGTGGTTTAGGAAACGAAGAATTGCTATCCATTTCACAAGTGAGTGACTGTCGATGTTTTACGAATAAGCCGAGAACGAAAAGTGATAGCGGTTTTCACCATCTTGTAGTAAAAAGCATAGACTGTCCAAGTGGTAAAAAAGAAGAAGTCATCCGGTACCAAAACCAAAGTAAATGTTCAACTCAAATTACATGGTTAGATGCTCAAAGTATCCTCTATGAAACGAAGCAAGATGCAAGATCGCTAGCTGCCGTGGCTATCAGGTGACCAGCACCCACCTATCTCCAGCAAACCTATGCCATCTGATAACCACAGTAACTAGCGGTCTTGGACCTTGCTTAGTTTCATAGAGGATACTTTGAGCATCTAACCATGTAATTTGAGTTGAACATTTACTTTGGTTTTGGTACCGAATGACTTCTTTTTTACCACTTGGACAGTCTACAGTTTTTACTACAAGATGGTGAAACCGTATGTTTCTATCACTTTTCGTTCTCGACTTATTCGAAAAACATCCACAGCCACTCACTTGTGAAACAGATAGTTGTACCGTGAAGTGCCAGATATAAAAACCCGTGTTTACATGTGAGTGTGTGTTCGGTATTGATGTCAATCACAGTTACAAAACTTGTGATGGGATATGTTCAAATGTGAGATAAGAATTGACAGTAAACTGTCCAAAAAACTATGGAAAAATATGTTTTGAATTTTTTCAGAGTACTTGTTATCAAAATATTCTTCATGCAAATTTCTTTAGCAACTAATTACGAGTAATACAGTTTTAACTCTCATATTCTTTTTCTGAGACAATAGCTGCTCTATTTTCATTATTTTACTGGAAAAAAGTAGGAACTTTATTCATACACTTGTTTTCTCTCATTTTCTAACAAAGATTAAAGAAAGTAAAGTCGTTTACTCGAATCTCTTGCTTGTATCTAAGCTAAGATTATGCATTAATTACACACTTCATGTTATATTTTCTTCTTTGCTATCGCACACAAAAAACCCATATTTTTCAATTCTACTTTTGAAATGTTGTCTCCTACCATACGCTTTCATCATCAGGACGTGCTGATTGATCTCGTCTTTGAAAAAAACAAGTGCATTCACCAACACATCTTTACATTTCACAGAGCAAAGACAACATTAAACCAAAATGTTCTTATAAATACCAAGGTTACCGTTTAAATTGAACAATATTAAATAAATCCATATCATATAGACTAAGATGGTTTTTTTGGGGTTAGAGCGACAATGTTTACGAGACGTATTATAATCTAAATATCCTATGATCCTTTTGACTTACCTCTGTGTAACATTAAAAGCCGCTTCTAAACGTCGCTGACAACTTTCATACTCTTTATTCAATTTATTTTTATTAACAGCGGCCATATCAAATTTATTTTGTACATCTTCTAATTCTGCTTCTAATGTTTTTAAATCATCGACAGTATACTTTGATATGTCAACCATACGATGATCAACTTCATTCACGTCCGAATGCTATTTTATCATGACAAATGTTTTATCATTGAACTAATTGAAATGATTATTCTTTCTTTATACTCACTAGACTAGCTTCCATTTGTTTTAATCGTTGTATCTAAAAGAAATAATCAAAATATATTAATATAAAAACATTATCATTATCTTGTACTTCTGTTTCTTTTTCCAATTGTTTTTGTTCAGCTTCAACCATATCTTGTTTTAATTTATCTACTTTTTGTTTAGCTAATCGTAATGGTTTACACAATTTTGTATATTCAATTAATGCGATAACATAATGAACTAAAGCAGCTGCTTCTTCCGAAGCATAGCGTGCTGCTGACAGTGTAATACGATTTTCTTGACCGCGTACTGCTGGAACATGAAAATCTTCAAAACAAAAAAAAAGAATAGAGAAAATGTATTGTTAGTTTTAGACCAGATGTACCTCGAGCATTTTCCAATAGGGAACCTTCACCGGTAATGCCTTCATTAACACCTGAACATTATAAAATAAATTTATAAGAAAAAAGTCTTTATGACGTCTACAAATTACTCTTACCGTCTTTTCCTTTTGCAACATACGATTCGACAGCTAATAAAATGAACGATTTCAAGGAGAATACGATGATATTTTAGGCTTCCTTTATCAAGTGCACTTACCTGCAGCAATATCCGGATGAAGTCCATCTTGCCAGTCGACACTGTGGACTAAATCCACAAATCTTCCCGAATCAGACATGATAATTTGATATTGTTTCCACTGATTTCTATCCAGTCTTTCAGGTTGAGAACGTGCGTGACTTGAACCTTAAAGGTGAAAACAGTTGCCAATTTTTGTATTTTATTCGACGATTATCTAATTTTACAAACTTTTATCTGTTGCATTTTCTCTTGATTCTATTTTCGTTGGTTTCCGTCCAACTAATGTCAATATCATTTCCATTATTTGTCCTATTAACATCGGTGGTGTTTGAAATGCACGTACACTAAAGAATTAACATATGAAATAGTCACAATTGTCTATCTAATGAGCTTCCTTCTGTTTCTTACCGTTCGATACACGATTTATCCACTTTCGAGGACCAAAACTCGACCTGCAAAAAAAGAATTATTAAGGAAACACAACATCATATAGCAATACTTAAACCTCTTTTCGTTTTGCTGCCAGTCTGTCTCTCCATTTATCGACTTCACGTTGAGCTTCCTCATATTCTTCTTGCATTTTGGCTTGACGTGATCGTACACTTTCTTCTTTCATTCGTTTAAAATTTTCTTCATATTCATCAGCTTCATCTAAAAGCAACAATTTTCATAATATTTTGAGATTTTCATTCATATACAACTTCCAAATCTTACCGTCTTGCAACCATCGTCTCTCTTCTTCTGGCAATACAAGATCATCTTTTTCTTCCCTATTCACATAACCACTTAACGAACCGAGTTGTCCTGTTTTTGCTCGTAACTTTTCTAACATCATCGATTTGAGAATAACTTGTTCTAATAATTGCGCTGTGTCCTCTTCAGACTGTTTGCTTCTATCTTTCAAATCTTTGATATACAAGCGCATTTGTTCAGCATCAGCACGTGTTTTATTCAATGTACTCAGAACTTTATTTAATCGTATAATATCTCGTTCACAAACAGCTGCTTTTGACGTAAACAAATACCAGAAACATTCCATAAATCTTAGAAATGTTTCTGGACCGATAAATGCATGTAATGATGATATATCAGTTGTAGATTGATTAAAAGTTTTAATTTGTTCGTATAGAAGAGTGCGTGAATAGGGATAATTAGGTATTTCAGTATCGACTGTTTTTATTAGAGCTTCTTTTAACTTTTTATCTGTTTGTTTTGTTGTTGAAGTAGCGTGTGTAGCGGGTACAGTAACGTTTTCTTTAATTATTATCGTTTTATCTGTACTACCAACCCATTGCATTTGTCTCGACTCAACCAACATATGATAATGAATATCAGAAAAACATGTAGCTAAACGCTGTCGTAATTCCTCGGGCACTAAGCATCATCAAAACATAGTGAATAAGCTATTTAGAATGAACAAATGAATTAAGTATTTAAAATTACCTGCAATATCCTTTGAATTGAGAAAATAATGTGCTTCTGCATGCAGAGTTGCTTGAGACCAGTTTTTTAACCAATATATTTGACTGTGTTTAATAATACCAGGATAATCTCTGTTAAGATACTAAGTTAGATTGATCATAATACAAATGAGTAAATTCACTTACGATGATAATCGTCCCAATAGTTCCGAATGACTGGGTAAACAAATGGCAACATGAAGATTACTTTGAACACGAGATAAGAAATAACGTCTTGGATCGGCGACTACAGCTGGTGCTAAATGATCACGTTTGAGTGCATTAATAACAGCCTAAAAAAATTACTTAATTTATTACTTAATTGCTTATCAAGTGAAGAAGTTAACTGTTCGAGTTTTAAATTAATTGAGTCGAATACACTTTTATTCTGTTACATTTATTTTCTTATCTAGCACTTTTTGCCTGAGGTTGTAGCTCGCGTGAAAATTCTTGTATGAAATGTCGCAAGGTTGAAAAAACGCTAAGAAGTCAAAATCTTGAACAGATCTTAAGATCTTAAGCGAATAGAGTCAAAATATTTCAAGGTTTTATGGTAAAAATTTCTAACATTTTTTTTCGTACAATCATTAGAAATACGATAATATTGTATTTTTGATCATACCCTAGTCGAGACTCCCGACAAAACTCCAACGGGAGTCCCAAGTTTATGAAAAACTCCAACAGGAATCGTAAGGAGTCCTGATGACTTTCTAAAGTGAAAAGTCCAACATGGAGTCATGAGGAATCTCAAAAATATTCTTGCAGGAGTCCTGTCGAGAGTCCTGTTGGAGAAAGTCATGCATGGACTCCTACAGAACTCCTCAGAGAGCAGAATTTTTTTCTTATGACTCCCATAAGAGAAAGTCTGTCAAGAGTCCCTAAAAATATGTACTCCCCGGGAGCCACCCTCACACTCCCCAACCTGTGCAATCCCCGAGGAGTCCCTGCCAACTCCCATTCACCGTTTGTTTTGCAGATAGGCAATATATAAATATAATGTAGTTCTATGATAAAATTTTAAAAATTTTCTTCTAGTAAGTCAACATTAATGTGTCAACCTTCGATGGGTGATATGTGTTC